ACCCCTTTTACCACACGCTAATAGTGGTGGACGAGAGGCAAAGCCAATAGGGTGAGGGTGAGCATAGACGAGAGTGAGGGGTAGGTCGCGAAAGCTCTCCTTCGTTCCATTGTTGATCTTTGTGAAGGGGTAGCAACTAAGGCTAAGTCGAAGGTAGATGCATCAACAACAACAATGACATCAACACACTATTAGGTGATGTTAATGTCATTAACGAGCGACAACAAGTCATTGTGGATGATGTGAGAGGAAGAAGGCAGTGGAGGTGAGGGCGACGATAAAAAAAAAAAAAAGATCAAGAAAAGATGGAAGAAGAGGCGAGAGCAGAGGAAAAGGAGAGGGATGCTAGGGTGAGGAGAATGAAAGGTAAGGACAACGAGTAAAAATAACAACCAACGAGGTGGAGGTTAGGGGCAATGTCATGTTTTAAGAAAAAAATATATTTTACAAGAATAAATAAAAAAGTTGATGTTAATAAAAAAATAAGAGATTTTTTTTAATTTATCCAATTGTGTTTACCCAAGTAGGACATTGTATACAAAATGGGCTAATTTTCATAACATCAACTTTAAATCATTTATAAGGATTTTATACTTTTTTAATATTTTAATAAGTCAAATGTTATTTTTTAATATTTTAGTAGATCAAATGTTATACGAAATATGTGGCACAAAATGTGCACTAGAAAAATAAAAATTAGGTTATAACATGTTAAATTACATTTACATAACATATTAATGAATAAGATATATGAATCAAATTGTTATATAATTATATTTAAATTAGTATTATATTCTGATAATGTCAAATATCATTCTACCAATGATGTGCATCAGACACTGACATTACAATAATGTGATGACAGTGACATTTGAAATCTCATGAGACCTCACATTTTTTGCCTTTTTAGTATATTAATAAATAAAAATGTCCTTTCTACATCCAACCATCATTGACAGATTCTGCAATATTTTAGTTCATAAACTAATTTATTTATGGCCAAAACCCATATTAAGCATGTTCAAGTGTCAAGAGTGAAGTGCGATGGGGCCTTCTTTTAGTTCCCACTGATTTGGAGAGTGGTGGAAATTACATTTTGTTTTTATTATATTTTCACAATAAACAAACTATAAAGAAAATTCTAAAATATTCATTTACCCATTAGAGAAAGAATTAGAAGAAGCTTGCACTACCACCGTCAGATCTAAGATAAGCGGGAGAGATGAGATCACGATTTAAAATGAAGATGGCAAAAGGACTTCTTCGTCATTAGGTCAAAGATGATGTCCAACTTAGTAATTTAACATCCATCTGAGGCTCTTCACATGGGTTGTCGATCTCAGAAGCTCGGTTCGTTTTGCCGGCGAAGCCTTTCGTCCGTCTTCTTCGATCCTTCCCATCCTTCCGTGATCCTTTCCTGAGAGATTATTGGCTGGTAATCTCGTGTTCTTCATCGGAGATATCTGCTGGTTTGAAAAAAATTGTAATTTCCGTGGAAAAATCGTGCTTTTTGGTGATTTGTCGTGTTTGTTTCTTTATCTTCCATCTAAAAATGGCATCTTATTGGTCTTGATTTTGATAAATCAAGCATTGGTTTGGCAATTTCTTCTATTCTCGTTCCTGGATAGAGTTCTTTACTTTGAATGAGTGATCTGCGGTTGGTTGGGGAATTCTAGGGTTTCTTTTCACTCGTTCAAACGTGGTTGGATCTGGGTTGCAATATACTTCAGTTATCAACTTGTTCTTGCGATAAATGCGGTGTTATGTGCTGATGATTCATAAATTCGTTTCATTCTTGAATCTGTTTATTGGTGCATCCGTATTTGGTTTCTTAGATTTGCAGTTGCCAATGCTGCTAAAGCCATGAACTCAGTAGAACTCTACTTGTATTGATTTGCGTAGATTAGGTATGCAGCCTGCTGTTCTACGTCAAGTGGATTAGAATGTGTCTTCCTTGAGTTCTGCTGAAATCTAGGAATGTTGGTGATGAAAGCATAACAGTCGGTTCATATCTGCATCTGAGCTCGTAGTTCGAGCTTATTTTTCCTTTATAGTATGTAGATCTTATGTTACACAGTCAGAAGAAAATAAGAGTGTATTATATGTATCAAGCTACATGTATAATTCTTTAGATGACAACCCATGCGAACAGGGCAAGTCTACAGACGTTGACCCTTTTTGCATTGTTTGTGATAGTCTTAGTTCTTTTAGCTAAATGCATAAGGCCCTGTGATGATCCTTTTGTTCTCGTGGCAAAATTTTCACCTTGATCTGATTTGGATTTGAACCTTATATGTTCCAAAGGGTGGATTTGCTGGTTATTGCATAAGACCATATTTCTATTTGTAGGGACATAAATTAGGGTTCTAGGAGATGTAAATCGAACTGTAATCTCAAAACAGAATTTTCTTCCTGATACTAAATCTGTGGTGCCTAGATGGAAATCAACTCAGTCATTCTTGCTCCTAGAAGATTGTTAGCCACATATAATATCCATGTTGATAAGATCAGTTTTTTAGGAGGTCACATTAACGAGATGAAGATCACTCACTTCAGGAGGTCTCCTTCTTTTTCAGGTTTGTTTTGAGCACTCTTCGGGAGGTGATCGATCATCAGAAATGGATATGGTGTCCATTTATCTATTGCTGTTTTTCACCACTAGTTTGTGATACCTTGCATCTCGCAGAATGTGGAGTTTTGCTAGGAATATGGTTGCTGGAAAATTTGGCTCCGAGAACACCTGTGCAAAATCAAGCATGTCTAATCCTGATTGTTCCGATGATGAGATTTCTTCCTGCACCAGCAAAGAAGAAGGCTTGGAGTGCCCAATTTGCTGGGAATCATTTAATATCGTAGAGAATGTGCCTTATGTCCTATGGTGTGGGCACACTCTATGCAAGAATTGCGTCCTGGGACTCAAGTGGGCTGTAGTCAAACTTCCGACTGTACCAATCCAGCTACCGTTCATCATCTCCTGCCCATGGTGCAATACATTGTCTCTGCGGTTGATTTACAAGGGTAATCTCACATTTCCCCGGAAAAACTACTTCCTTCTCTGGATGGTTGAGAGCATGAATTGTGATAGGCCAAGATCTGACTCCATTCATGAGGAACACCATCCTGTGTGGCCTTCAGCTGGCAACCAGCCACGGGGAAGTCATGGTTTCCAGCACCATATCATCCGAAGAACTCCAAACATGCATGCAGAACACTTGGACCACAACCAAACTGACGCAGGCTCCGCTAATAATTACTTCAATATGGAGCGGATCCATGCTTCCTTATGCAAGTCGCTAGCTCTCTTTGTACAATTTACAGCCAAGTTTCCACTTGTGATCATCTTCCTTCTCATAGTCCTTTATGCCATCCCTGCAAGTGTTGCCATCTTAGTTCTGTATATCCTCATCACTGTCCTGTTTGCCTTGCCTTCCTTTCTGATGCTATACTTTGCTTACCCTACCTTGGATTGGCTTGTGAGAGAAATTCTTACTTGATATTTCGTGAAGCCAAAGAATTCCACTCAAAAGATGTACGCATGGTTTTCCGCTTATTTTCTGTATAAAGATGGTTTTCTATGGCAGTTTTGTGGCACTTGAGGTGTGACGGAATTGCTTCTTTCATGCTGTGACTGCAGATCAAGTTATTGTCATCACGTTGCCTGACTATGTATTCTACTTTGCTGAAGGTTAAACTAGGCCCTTTGGTCTGTCTGTTTTTTTTACTTGGATGGTTTAATCTTGTTTGCAAAATATTTGTCAGGAATCATCATATTTATCCAAGAATGTATCAGTGGTGTATGATACAGTGAATTCTTGCTTTGATATTTTATTTCTTGAACTTACTCTTCAGTCTCATGACATTACTATTGCTTGCATCTTTTGCTTTAGTGTCCATAGAGACCAGATTGTTATTGACATATCAGAAATCAAAACTTTATTCACTATATTCAGAGTTAATCAAGTGAATGTACACTACAAAGGACTCACCAATCTTCAAGTTAGTGTATCAGCTTAGATATCATGACCTTTGTAGATTAGCTTGTCATGACATTCAATCATGCTCATGCTAGTTTGACTTTGCCTCGAGTGCCTGATGTGGTGGTGTAAACAATTTATAATGGTTAAATACGCATATAGTACGATATCTTATACTTCATTTTGATTTTAAACAGTTAATGCATAGAAGTTCAAATTTAAGGAGTTATATATGTTGGCTACAACACTAATCAAGAAGTAGGATTTAGGAGTATTAATATCTAATTCAAAAGATGTAAGATTATTATGTAAGAAGCCTGAAATTTTGAGGAGTGATTAAAAACATTTTGTTGCTAAAATCTTATATTTCACTTAATTGCAGTGATTACTTTTACAATGGGATGGAAGCATAAAGTACAGAGAGCATCATGGCTCCAAATGTTACAAAGATACTGGGAGATTTTGGGTTCATTACTCTACAAGAAGAGCAGAATCAATCAAGAGTATCATTGCGGTAGAAAGACGAGCTAAACATTCTTAGTAAATTACTAAAAGAGTTAATTTTGATCCACTTAAAGTGTAAATCTTTGATGGTATTAATAGCAGAAATATGAATATTTTGCATCTTCTGCAGTGTTGTGTGTTTGATCTTTTCCATTTTTTTACCTTGGAAATTAATCTCAGGCCTTTGCTTACACTCATTCCTCCTGCTTTCAAGACAGCACATCAAATTGTCATCTGCTACCTTTGATACACTGAATCGTGACCAGAGAATGCGACATAATAATCAAATGCTAAGCACTGCTCTCACAGAATAACACAAAGATGTCAAAAAGATGGAGTGATTTAACCTCACAGTTAAGACAATATATTCACTAAAATTTTGATCTAACAAAGGTCCGACATCGAAGACGGAACTGATCAGTTATTCAAATGATAATACATGGTACAGATCGGTATTGGTTTCAATAATAGGCATTATTTACCACACAAAATACTGCAATCCCACAAGTGTAAGCAATAACATAGGATCCAGAGTTCTAAATTGTTATTTATCAAGCATTTGACAACAAGTAAGCTACCTCACCATCTTACAAAGCTCCGGATGATACTAATAAGAATCTTCCAGTAATGCAGCAGCTCTTCTACCACAAAATCAATTTTATAGAATATCAAAAGTTCCCTTTTAACAACTTCCCTCTATCCTCTAAAACATATGAAGCTTTCAAGGATGCCAACTCAGGCATCCAACTTGCAAAACTTGTGTCAAATTACAAGAGAGCCCCACATTTATAGGTCGGTGAGAGGTTACCCAAACCAAATCTGATCTGGGAAGTCAGGAGGTCATGGCACCATGGATCTGGTGGCGTAGCCAATGACAGATGTGTTGATCAGACACTGAAGTGGATGCTGATCAGACGCATGCCAGTGATGTTGATGATCACGTGCTGACATGGCTAATCATCCATGTGACATTGTCGGTATAACAGATTTCTCATATTTCTATTTGCATACTGATATTCTTCAGACATGGACTAATCAAGAAAACATTAGGACACTTGCTCCAGACAGTATAGCATTAGAGTGATTTGACATGATCATTAAGCATTATTTATAATGTGCACGTGCTGTTCCAAAGGACTCTGGTTGACCGATGACCATCTTGATGTAACATATTTGAACCCACAGACCATCAATGAAGGCACTACTTCAAACTGCTTCCTGACAGATATGCTTATGTACTATGTCTAGTCCATAAACTAAGCAATAAACACGAGTATGATTCATATTTGAATGACAACTACAGTTGATTCATTATGAAGTGAAAAGATGAATATCGAAGAGTTCTAATCTGTCCTTCACGGCAAAATTAAATTATTTCCATAAATCATACCTTAACCTGTGAATGTGATACACATTCCCTCTGTATGTGAGAGACCTTTCCTCGGCCTCAGGACACCAAAGATGTCCTTGCAACTCCAATACTCCATCCATAGCTGCTGTTTGCCACACAAGCTGGTAAACACTCAAAGCTCTGTTCAGCTGCATAATCCCACTCCTTATTGACCCTTCATCAGAAGAATGTAAGATCTTTCCAATGTACAAGTATGTAGTACCACCACACTCGTAAATCCCTCCACTAACCTCAACTTCAATATCTCTGATGGTTCCATGCAGATAATACAGCAATAGAGTGAACAAACACTTGGAAGAGTGCCCTAAGCACTTTGTAAACTTCTTCTGGACTAGGTAGTCCTGCCGTCGAACTTCCTTGTGACTAATGTCTCTCTCAACCAGAATATCCTTGATTTGGTACAATCCTTCTTTCATGATATCAAGCTTGGAGAGGTGATATGTCAAGTTCTGCTCTTGGCCCAAGACCTTCGAGAGATCAACAAACATATCAAGAACTTCTTCCCATTTGCGTGATGGCAGCGACTTCTCGACCTTGTTCGAAGGGGCTGGTCGCATCCACGACGGGGAGGAAGCATTTGAACCCTTGATATCTGTCAAAAACTTTATACAGCTGAATAGTATCTGCTCACCCATCTCGAAAGCCTTAGAATGGCATGCTAAGCAGTCCATTTCATGTTTCAAGTCTTGGAGAACCTCCTCAAGCACTCCCCACCAAATACTGTGCTGTGTAACTTGCGGACATAGTGCCAAACGAACATGCTTCCTCTTCTGAACTGAGACATTAAGGAAGTTACAAACTTGGGTAAGTGAAATCAGCGTCATCGAGCTCCTTTCACTCGCTCTACAGAAAAGTTTTGGAGATACGAGTGGTGCAGCCAGTGCATTTGTCTTCCTTTGGGAGAGCTGCAATGTGGTAGGCTCGATGAACGCTTTCGCAAGCGACTTGAAGGTCTCCATATGGCTGATGATATGGTCATCTGTAATGACAGCGCTGTCATTGATGCTGATTATCCTTCCATCTATCTGCTTGACATCTTTTAGAACATGTGTCAGTCTGATTATTTTAGCAGCAGCCGCTCTGTACCATTCTGATGGCAGCAACTGTTCACTGCCAAGTTCATCAGCTTGGTGGTAGAATGCCAAATTCCAACACGGAAGACAGCTAATACGCCTACCCGTTATGGACTTGCAGCGAAGAGCAAGAATAGATCGAATCATGTGCCACAACGTTAGATATCAGTGCTCCTTTGTCTAGTCCTATGTGCATGCAGCAACATGACTGTGTCTCCTTCCTCTTTGGAAACAAAGCCGAAGTTAGTAAGACAACTGGCAATCAAGCACAATGAGAATGCGAAGCAACTATTATCCAAGCAAAAAAAGAAAGTTTGATATAAGGATCCGTGTGTTCGTCCTTGATCAGCAGGTGCACATCAGCAAAAGGTGGGAGAAACATATATGGCTTGCACAAGGGTTCTGAAAGAAAAAGAAAAAAAAAAGGCATTTTGTCAAGCATTAGATATGCACAGCTCATGAATTAGCAAAACGATCACTTGTTATCGTTGTTAGCAGAATTGGTCCAGGCAACGACCAAGACGAGAGTTTGGCATTAGGTCGTTTGTTGAACCAATGGATCGACATGTAAAATTAAAAAAACATTTTAAAAATACAAAATCAAATAAAAACTGGTTATAATATCAGCAAGATAACTAAAATTTTCAAAGAAATGGAACAATATTTAGCACTTATGCACTAAAACACTAAAAATGTAGTGATGTTAGCTCACTCCTTCGATATAGCAATCTAAGAATCAACCAAATATTGTTTTTGCAAAATGCCTTGCAGTAATTATCTTCAAATGTGGAAATGTTGCTTCACTCCATTGATTGTCTTTAATGATAGAAACAGAATGTCTATTTTATAATGTCTGAGTTAGCTTGTTACAAGTAACCCAAAAAAGAAGGAAAAAGAGATGGCTTTGTGCACCAGTGGAGTACACCAAATTGACATGCTTCACTGTCACAACCCCATAACATAAACTGAGCCCTAAAGTTTGAGACTTGAGAAATAATAGACAAAAGGATTGAAAGAAAAAAACCAGAAATCGAAACGAGAGCTGAGAAACAAAACGAAGCAGAGGAGACATTCAACAGAAGAATAGGCTGGAGAGAAAAGTAGGTAGGCCGAGAAGACATTACCGAGGGATAGATAGCGCATTAGATGATTGAATGATTCCAAGACTACCTTATCATCCAGAAGGCAGCGAGAGAGGAGAAAGGATGGCGGCTGAGACAGAGGGGACGGGTAGAGAGAGAGAAAGAGAGAGAGACGGCCGTGACGGTGACGAGAAAGGGGGAGAATAATGGCGGCGAGAGGTTCGTCGGCGGCGTGGCTCGAAGACGAATCGGCAGGGTCGATTTATTGGAATGTTGAGGGCATTATAGTCATTATATCTCCGATAAGTCTCAACCAGGGAAGATGAAATGGGCACATAATCGGGCCCACTGGATGAATAAATGGGCCTTAAATGGGCTGTCCGATGAAACCTAACTTGAACTTGATTTTTTTTCTTTATTTATTTTATTTATTAATTCATTTCTCATTCTCTATTTTCCACATGCTTCTCTCTGGAAAAAGATTTTTTATTGACAAGATTTCATCCATATGCATAGCGAGTTTAATGATGCATTAATCCCTCTAATTCAAGTCTAGCACAAAGGCTATGCACGTACAAAAGTGCCTTGCCAGTTAATCTTGCTAGTTGATATTCTAATTGACATTAATATTTTATCATAAGAATTAATGTCTAATGGCTAATTATATATTAGTCTTTGTAGTTAGATTTTTTTTAAAAATTTATATTAGAATCTCTATAGTTAAAAAAGTGAAACATTTAGTTTTATTTATCTTAACATAGTCATTTATACTAACGAAAAACATGAGAACACGTGCAAAAATGATATTAAAATAATATGTAAAAAGATAATTTTAATATCCTAATTATATTTTCAATGATAGCGGATGATGACGTCGTTGGGGGCATAGATGATTGTTGTGGTTATAGTCGGTAAGAACACTAAAGACTTCTACAACTTCTTGTAGGGAGAGGAAAATGAGAAGAGAAAGTGACGGTGAGAGGTGAGGCAAAGGAAGAGGATAATGCTTTACATCTGTGTCGACACCAACACAGATGTCGTGATATCACGGACTTAGCTAGAATTGCCTAAGTCGTAAGGCACCCTTGCGGCAAAGACGCGAACTTAGCTTGCATTGCCTAAGTAGCGCCTCGCCCTTGCAATATGCGTCCGCAAATATCAGCCCACTTGCAACCTCTCGCAGATCCCGAAGGACCTGTAAAAGAAAAAGTTGATTAATTCGATGAGTGACGGACAAGTCCCGACGTCTCGTGAAAAGGGGAAGCTTTACAAGCAATTTAGCGAGCACCTTGCATGCACAAGAGAAAAGAGGGAGAGGAGGAAAACAAGGACTCTAGAAGGTTGAACGAACAGCTGCAAGTTGACAAACAACTGCTCACCAAGTGTCGGGCGCGACAATAAGTTCCCGTCAAGATAACGTGCGAACTTGCGAAAGATTGTTCAATGCTCGACACTATACCGAAGCCCCATCCCTCATGGTGCCACCCGGGTGGTTCTAAGGTGCTGAGATGGTTGACGTTTAATGTGTAGCAACGGACTGTAGAAAATAGCCCGTGGCATGCGAAAACGGAGTTGTTTTGCTCGGTTCGGTGAGCGATCACACTGTAACACTGTAACTTGTTCGAACTTATATTTTTACAAGAAAAAAGACATAAAACCAAGCCAAAACATGCTACCATGCAGTTGTACATGTAAACACAAATGATGAATGATTCGTTGAACAAAGTTGTTGCAAGTACGCGACGACCGTTCGTGACATTCTTCCCCACTCAAACTGTCGACGCCCTCATCGATGCTTGTTGGTAGTTGTTGATGATTACTTCTTCAGGTCATAAGGCATCTTCGGGCTCCCAACTAGCTTTAGTTCGGGGAAGCTTTCACCACTTCACTAAGTACTCGGTCTGCTCAGCTCCAATGGGTAGCTTTATCTTGCGGTCTGCTAAATGGTTTCAACTCCCTTCTCGTATGAGGCTCTAGTGGGGGGTAGCCGAGTTGGAACATTTCGGGAAGCATCTTGCGGATCCGAGTGGTAGGCTTTCAAGTTGTTGGTGTGAAGAACATTATGAATTTTGAACCACGCCGGTAGTTGCAACTTGTAGGAGAAGTTGCCCACCTTGCTGATAATTGGGAAGGGCCCTTCATACTTGCACACCAATCCTTTGTATACTTTGTTCCTAAAGAATTGGAGTGCTGCTGGTTGGAGCTTGACCAACACCAAATCGCCAACCTTGAACTCTTGCGGTCACCTTCCTAAGTCTGCCCACTTCTTCATTCTTTTTGCCGCCTTATCCAAGTAAGCCTGAGCAATATCTGCATTTCATTGCCACTCCTTTGTGAAGTGGTAGGCTGACGGACTACTCCCAGTATACCTGATTACTATGGTGTGAGGAGTTGACAGTTGTTATCTTGTAATGATCTCAAAGGGGCTCTTGTTGGACGCAGAGCTCCGCTGCAAGTTATAGGAGAATTGAGCAATATCCAATAACTTCACCCAATCTCGTTGGTTGGCACTCATGTAGTGCCGAAGATATTGCTTTAGGAGCGAGTTGATCCTTTCAGTCTGGCCATCCGTTTGGGGGTGGAGGCTTATGGAGAAGTATAACTTCAACCTCAATAATTTGAATAGCTGGGTCTAGAATCATCCCATAAACCGAGCGTCTCGATCACAAATGAAATTATGTGGGACTCTCCAATACTTCACCACATCCTTCATCATCAGCTTGACCGCCTCCTCTGCTGAGCAGTGTAGGGGAGCAGTAATGAAAGTTGCATACTTTGAAAATCGATCGACCACCACGAGTATCGATTCGAGTCTCTCTACTGCTGGCAAGCTTAATATGAAATCCTGGAAATGCTCTCTCACAGACTTTCTGGTATGGGCAACGACTCCAAAAGTCTCATCGGCTTCTACTGCTCCACCTTATCTTATTGGCAAGTGAGACACGCTCGAACATATTCCTCTATATCAGTCCCTATCTTCGGCCAGTAGTAGGCCCTCTCCATGAGAGCCAAGGTTCTATGAATGCCTAGGTGTCCTGCCCAAAGGGAATCTTGACACTCTCTTAAGAGTTCACGCCTCAGATTATCTACTAGAAGAACATAAACCCTATTCCCTTTGGTGTAAACGAGTCTCTCTTAGACCCAAAACCATCGTGCCTTACCTTCTTTAATGAGCTGCATCAAAATTACTGCCTGGAGATCACTGTACAGACCATCCCTAATCTTGGAAAGGAAGTTGGAGTGTAACTAGCTTGCTTGGCCTCTCCACTCTAATTGTACGACATTCACACGCTCCACTTTCCGACTCAATACATTAGCCACGATATTTGTCTTTCCGGGCTTGTACTCTATTGTCATATCAAACTCAGTTAGGAAGTCCTACCATCATGCTTGCTTTGGGGACAGTTTCTTCTGAGTTTAAAAATAGCTCAAAGCAATGTTGTCTGTCCTTAACACAAATCGCGATCTAAGAAGTTAATATCGCCAAACTCGTAGACAGTGAATCACCGCTATCATCTCCTTCTCGTGCACCAGATACCATCACTCGGTCTCATTGAGTTTGTGGCTCTTATAGGCCACCGGAAGACCCTCTTGCATGAGTACTCCCCCAATAGCGAAGTTTGAAGCATTTGTATGGACTTCGAAGGGCTCCCCATAGTCCAGTAATTTGAGCACCGGTTCTTCCAACACAACAGCCTTTAGATCTTGGAATGCAATTTTATATTTATCAAACCACCTCCAAGGCTACTCCTTCTTCAGCAACTCCGTCAGTGGAGTTGCACGCTTCGAATACCCTGCTATGAAGCGTCGATAGTAGTTGACGAAACAAATGAAGGATCTTAACTCTAGCACCTTCTTTGGGGTTTGTCATTCCGTAACCACTTGCACCTTCGATTTGTCCATCCGAATGGAGCCATCATCGATTCTATGCCCCAAGAATAAGATATCCATTTGAGCAAAGTAGCATTTCTCCCTTTTCACGAACAAAGTGTTTTCCCTGAGAATCTTGAAAATTGTTCGAAGGTGCTTGACATACTCCTCGAGCGTTTGACTGTAGATGACGATATCATCCAAGTAGACAACCATGAACTTATCCAAATACTCTTTGAATAGCTGGTTCATGAGAGTGCAGAACGTGGCCGGAGCGTTGGTTAAGCCGAAAGGCATGACCAAGAACTCAAACGCTCCATACCTGGTCACATAGGTAGTCTTCGCTTCGTCGCCTTTAGCAATGCGTACCTGCCAATACCCCGACCGAAGGTCGAGTTTTAAGAAATACTGGGCTTTGCCCAATTGGTCGAACAAGTCCGCGATGAGCAGGATGGGATACTTGTTCTTCACTGTCACTTTATTGAGGGCTCGGTAATCGGAGGCTCCCATCTTATTTCTTCTGGAAGAGAATTGGAGCTCCGAATGGTGCTTTAGAATTGCGGATGAGACCACCGCTTAGCAATTCACCTAACTGCTTTCTGAGCTATACCAACTCTGGAGGGGGCATGCGGTAGGGTGGTCTCGCTAGAGGCTTCACTCTTGGCTCCAGCTCGATGTGGTGATCGACGCCTCTACGTGGCGGTAGAGTCTTCGGCAACTCGAGTGACATAACATCCGTGAACTCCTTCAGGACGTTCGCCACCACAACAAGTTCATGAATGACATTCTCGTCAAGTGGCTCTAGCTTCAAAGCAACCACGAATGTTAGTTCATCTTTTCGTACCCCTTTCTTTAATTGTAATGCTTATATATGTTGGGGTTCCCTTGTTCGTTTTTGAGAGATGGGAACCACACAGGGGTCGTCACCTCCCATCATACATAGGGAGTTTAGGAATGACATTAGCACCAACTTTGCCGCGTGCATGAATTCCATTCTAAGAATTACTTAGAAGTCATCTAGTGGCATCGCCATCATATTTGTGTTCCCGCTCCATGTTTCGATTTTGATGGGAACTTCCTTTGCCAACTCGAAGATTCACTTGGCCTCCGAGTTCACTACCTTCATTCGAATTAGGCTCTTCTCCAAGATCAGCCCAAGTTGCTTTGCTTCTCGATCGACAATAAAGTTGTGGGTAGTGCTCGTGTCCACCATTGTACATCAGCTCACCACTTCCTGCTTTTGTAGCCTTGTCTTCGTGTTCTCCCCCACTTGACCTTGCATGACATTTAACAAATGCATTGCTCCCATCCGAGGTCTTTGCGACTCCTCACCGTCGTTGTTGGATTCAGAACTACTCGCACTAAGAGCAACAACC